CTGTTCTGGAGAACGTTCCATGTGCATTGGAAAAGAATGTGTACTTTGCAGCGGTTGGATGGAGTGTTCTATATATGTCTATGAGATCAGGTTGGCTGATTGTGCCCCTTAGGTCTTCTGTATCTTTGCTGAGTTAAGTTGGTGCAGTTTTGGAGTATTGTTGACCAAGGTCTTACTAGATATCCACCTTTGGTGTCATTCATGTTAGTATGCTTTAGATCTGATGTTTCCTTGATTTCTTGCTGCAATATCTCAGGTGGCTGGTTTGGTGTTTCCTTAGTCCTGACCTGACATTTTGATGTGACCAAGGTGCTGGGGACATTTTGTCGAACAGCAAGAACAGCAGGGACAGTCATCACCATGCCTAACCCCATCATCCCTATTCTGTGCTTTTTCTTCTCATGTAAATGCCAATTATTCTGGTCATCTTTTACAACGTGAAATGTTTCTAGGAAACTTGTTCATGAACAGTTGCAAATTGGACTTTGAAATGATCACTTCTGACTTGTTTGTAATTAGAGAATGTTTGGGTGTGGTTGAATATGTTGTTATCTGTACCTGTTCAAAAATCTGGATTTCCTGCTTTTTGTTCCAGAACCTATTTAGTCAGCTACACAGGAACAGTCAGCCCCAGGAAAACTGATCTAGCCACTTACCAAACTCATATAAGACTTAATGAGAGTTGAAAGTCAATTTATTTATCTATCCAGGGTGAATAGGACATAAATTGCTTCTTTTCTAGGAGAAAAATCTATTTGTAAGTCAAATTATGTTTTAAGAAGTTTGTGAGATTGGAGGGAAATTAAGAACATTAAACGATTGGAAGCTGAAATAGTCTGGTGAAACCCTTGTATCCTTCACCATCCAAGAAAGATGTGTGTGCAGAGAAATACAGTTAGGAGAAATAATATTTGGAAGTAGAATGTTCCCTGCTGGTTGATCTTTTCTAGTACTTAAAGTTAACCCTTCAGATGATCTAGTAACCTCTTCATTTAAAATGCACATTTTTAATGCACATTATATTTGAATAGGTCATCTGATTTTCAAAGGCACAGATCTCTTAATGAGCCGTGAATTTTAGATGAAGCATAAATAAACAATTTTTAGAAAATACCCTTTCTTTGAACCATAACTGTTAACTTTCACCATTTTCAGTGTCCACAGTGCCAGTTTGGAAATTGTTATTGTTAAACGAAATTTAGGTATTTCTTTCTCTCCCTTCTTTTTTCCCTCCTTCCCACCTTTTCTTTTTCTTTTACTCTCCCTCCCTCTCCCCTTTCTATGCCAATATTTAATTACCTGCTTATGTCAGGCACTCATCTGTGTACCGGAGATACAGTGGTGAATAAGACAGAATTCCTGCTCTTTATGGATTTGTGTGTTTTTCTTCCCACCTTCATTGTTTTGGTGTGTACATCATCTATTATTAAAAAATCAAAGTAGGTAAAGCATCTTAGAAACTGAAACCATGTTTACAAATCACATTTCTATGGAAAATTTACATTATGAGGAAAATAATACTTCATGTATATTTTAAATTATTTATTACTTTTTTAGGGAGAAATGCTCTTCATCTGGCTGCAAAATATGGACATGCATTGTGCCTGCAAAAACTTCTACAGGTAATAAAGCAGTTAATACTTTGAATTTATTATTTTGATTGCAAGTAACAGATGTATTTTTAATGTGTTTTTGGAATTTGAGATCAAAGAATATGGTAGACTAACTTTGACCATTACCTAACATAATATTTTTTCCATCGTTTATGAAGGAATGTGAACAATAAAGAGCAAAAATTCTGGGGGAAGTGAATTGCATAACTCAGAGTATTAAAAATAAATAACAAAGACTTGACCTTCCTGTTGACATTAGCTGGAGACTAGAATTTTCTGTTGTCTGATATATGACATAAGATAAAGTGTTACAATATAAGATTTATATTTTTCGATGTGAATAGAGAAAAAAGACTACATAATATTAAAATCATTAGTTAAATTTTTAATCAGACAATCACAAAATTCTATGAATTAGTTGGCTGAATGCATTTTTCAGTCAAAAGCTCTAGTCAGACATGTCCATAAACATTTTTAACATTAAGTTTTACAGCAGAACTCATATTTTTCTGATTCAGTAGTACAAGTTTTAACTCTTGCTGAAAACAAAACAAACAATAACATGTTTTCTGTACCCCATGCTATTGTAATGTAGCATATGGTTTCCTGTTTGGTGAAATACTGTTAAATTTACAGTATAATGTTACTATATTTGTTTCATGTCAAAATATTTAGTGGATTGTCTAGTAGTCTTTTGTTTCTTTGATAAATGGAATATTTTAAAATGAATAGCTGTTTGTTTGAGTGTAGATAATTAATTTTAAAATAAAGCTCTTCCATATTACTAAGTTTCTATGTTTTCGTAGTACAATTGTCCCACTGAACACGTAGACCAGCAGGGAAGAACTGCACTTCATGATGCAGGTAAGCAAAGGTTTCATTTGTATACAAACACGTATTTGTTAAAACGGCTAGACATTTAACTTAGGTTCAAATTTTTAACATATGTATATTTTTATAATTCATAGAGAAGCAGTAGTATTAAGCAATTTTTATCTATCACATTTTTACACAAATAATGCACACCTTCTATGTTTGCCAACTGCACCCTCCCCTTGCAAGATATTTTCTTAAGCACCATTATGCCAATTTTTTTACATGTTTTAAAATGTAAAAAAATTTATGTTTTTTTTCACCTAAAGGTATGAATTTACTGCTGTCATTTTGTTATGCTTTTTTTTTGTGGTGTTAACGGTTTCTTTGTCTGCTTAAATTTCTGTGCTGAGTTCTTTTTGTTTGTGGATTTTCTTTTCCTTTCCTTCATTGTTGTTGATTTTGTGTTTACTGAGTCTTTGTGATTTTCTTCTTTTTTATTTTGATAAGTAGGTTTATTAGTTCTCTTTGTGGTTACTCTGAAATTTACCTTTATCTTTCTAAGTTTAAAGCAGTCTATTATTTCTTGATATTGCTTTGACTTCCTCTCCATATGAAAGTTCTATAACTACACCATTTAGTCCCCTTTTTTGTTTTGAAGTTGTTGTCGTGGTATCATTGGTTCCCTGTTTACAGTTTTGTAGATTTATTTTGCTTTTGAGATTTCTTTATCTGGTTGGTATCTGGGTAGTGCTGTTGTGTGTCTTAATCTCAGGCTGTTGTCTGATGCCGTTGGTTGTCTGTCTGAAGGGCTCCCTTTAATATGTCTTGTAAAGTTGGTCTGGTTTTTACAAATTCCCTTAATATCTGTGTATCTGGGAACGTCCTAGTTTTGCCATTGTATTTGAGAGACAGTTTTGCTGGTTATATGATTCTTGGTTGGCAATTCTTTTCTTTCAGGGTTTTATATATACCATCCTATTGCCTTCTTGCCTGCCTGGTTTCTGCCAAGAAATCAGAGCTAAGTCTTATTGGTGCCCCCTTGTAGGTGATATTTCATTTTTCCTGAGCTGCTCTCAGAATTTATTCTTTGTCTTTGGTTTTGGAAAGTTTGATTATGAAATGTTTTGGTGACCTTCTCTTGGGGTCTATTCTGTATAGTATTTGTTGAGCTTCTTGGATGGTAACTTCGTCTTTCATGATATCAGGGAAGTTTTCTGCCAGCAAGTCTTCAAAAAATTCTCTCTGTGCTTTTTTTTTTTTGTCTTCTCCTATTCTGGAATTCCAGTCATTTGTAAATTATTCATCTTGATAGTGTCCCACATAACTTTTAGGCTTTCTTCATTCTTTTTTCTGTTTGGTCGTCAAACAAATTAGTATTAACGGATTTATTCTCTATTTCACTGATTCTATCTTCCATTTATTCAGTTTGACTTCTTTGTCCATCCACTGAGTTATCTATTTCTGATATTTTATTGGTAATCTTCTGGATTTCTAGTTCCTGTTTTTGTATGGTTTCTAATTGTTTATTTGTCATTTTGTTCTTTCCGCTGTATTTCTGAACTCATGATTCTCTACCTGATTTTAATCCTTGCTGCTTCCTGGTCATCAGAGATAGTGGTCTTGGATGGGAATGTAACATCCTCTATTTGATCTTCACTCTAGGACTGGACCTTCCTCCCACCCCCACCCTCCCCGCCCCAATTTCTTTTTTCCTTATTGGAATGTCTTTGAGAAAGATGTGAGGAACAAGAGTTTTATCTCTTGCTGTTTGGTATAGGGAAACAGTTGGCTTTTCTATACTTGTCAGATCCCAAGTATGTAGATACTCTTCTGTTCGTTCCCATGTCTGTTCACAAGCTGGCTGATTCTTGATTAAGTTTATCTCTTTCTTGTAATGCCTTGCCAAAAGCAGTAAACAGCTGCCAGTATGCACTGACATTCTGGCTCTGTTCTGTTGCTTCCCCTAGAAAGGCTCCATAGTCGTATGATATACCATCCAAGTTATCACAGATGATAGCTTTACCAAATGTTTGCCACAGCATGAGAACAGTCACCAGATTTCCAGCCTGAACTGTGTTTACTCACTACTACCACCCAATCACTAAACCAGTACCATATATTTTAGGTATTTGTTACAGTTGCACCCTGCTCCTGATAGCAATTTTTGTCTTTGTTAGTTAGGATTAAGGCTAAGCTCCTGTAACAAAGAGACCATAAAATAACATTGGCTTAAAGAATATAGAATTTATTTCTTTTATGTAAGAGTCCCAGTATTCAGATTAGCTAGTGCCTCTACTCCAGATGGTCCTTCAGAGACCCAGATTTCTTTTATTTTGCTTCTCTAACATTTCCTAGGGCATTGTGCTCATCTTTAAGGCTGAAACTGGTAGCAGGCACCCCTGTTTTCCTGCTCACTCACAGGAAGGGAAAAGAACATGGAGGAATGCATAACCGAATGGTTATTTTAAGGCCTTGACTCTGAAGTAGTGCATGTCACTGCTGTCATATTCTGTTGGGAAGATCTAACTCATATGGCCAAACCTAGCTTCAAGGAAGACTGAGAAATATGGTCTGTAGGTGAGCCATATGTGCCCACTGTAGTACACTGAGGAATGACTTTATGTGTTCCATATAACTCTGGAATTTTTCATGGTTTACATATTTTCATTCTCATTTATAATTGGACCTGAATGGTTGTTAGTTTTATGAATTTGGGTTCAGTTTATCTTTTTATTAATTATGTGTTTTATGTAAAAGACTTCTGCTTGATTAAAAATTCTAGAAAGAATTTACTTGATTTTCTTATGTATCTTTGATTTAATCTTTAAAAGAGAAAGAATGCTGAGTTTTAATACTCTTTTGTGCTAATAATCTGTATCAACTCATAAGGCATAAAAAAAAAACTCATGGAGAGGGGAAACAATCCTATTTTATGAATTTAAGAATAATATTTTCCTAATACAAATATAAACTCTAATATTGGTCAGAGAAAAAGTGTAGTATGATTTTGTAAGATAATTTTTTAACAAATGATCTGCCATTGCATCATTAAGGGCAGATATTGCAATCTCTGTTTTTAAGAGATATGAATTGTTTGTCACAGTTCATTCATTGTGGCTGTTTTATAAAAAAATGAATATGATTCTTTAGAAAAAAACTTGGCTAGCACTTCAAGGACCAAGTCAGTGAATAACCATGCTTAAAAATATACAGTAAATAGAAAACTCAAGTTTGATTCTATCATCAATGCTTATCCTTAGGACAGTAGTACATTCTTGGCTTCTGCAAGGATGACCATATTCCTTGGCCCTTGTAAATTATGCAAAAATTACAAAATAATCTTGTCTAACGCACTTTCAGATAGAAAATTGATGCTTGTAATGTTAAACTGAGAGTGAAGAATGTGAATTTTGGTAGTTTACAAATTCAAGAACTCATGCCTTTTACGGATCTAGCAAAACACTATGTGTCTTACCAACAGGTGTTCACGATTTATCATTTTTCTTTGTTCTCCAAAGCTATGGCAGACTGTACTTCTAGCGTTCAGCTGCTTTGTGACCATGGGGCCTCTGTGAATGCCAAAGACGTAGTAAGTCAGTTTTTGTTTACTCTCTTCTCAACTCACGTATTCTAACTTTCATGTTTTGGTAGACTTGTGTTAATGCTGTCTTATTTTTCTTATTGCTTAGGATGGGCGGACACCACTTGTTCTAGCTACTCAGATGTGTCGGCCAACATTATGTCAACTGCTGATAGATAAAGGAGCAGATATTAATTCCAGAGACAAACAAAACAGGTAACTCTTTTTTCATGGCTCCAGAGACCAGTTGGATGCACAGTGGTTATGAACCTCTGCTGCTGTGACTTCGTCTTTCCACTGCCTTGGTTCTCCCTTTCCTTGGCTGGCTCTTCCTGGGAACTAACTCCCACTTCCCACTTTTCTTCAGAGTCTGCTGAAGAAGAATAGAGAGGGAAATAGTGGAAGATGACAGGGCAAATACTAAGTAAACACAGTGATTTAGGTCTGTGTTCAGGTCAAAGAACTAAAAGAAAGAGGAATTATGTCCCAGTTATTTTACACTTGAAAGAAAACTTTTTTCCCCCATGAAATTGGAGCAAATAAGGTATAAAGAAGAATATAAAAAAAATTTATATCTACAGTCAACCTATCTGCTAGTAATCTTTTGAGAGTAAAGTAGTTCTAGGGTGCCTTGGAACTTGACATATTTCAGTTCAGATTTTCTCAAGGTTACTTTTCCTGGACACAGTACAGCCTCCTTCTCCCAAACCGAGCCCACTTCTGTACCCAAGATTCCCTTAGTTTATTTTTCCTTCTGTATTTGGTGTTATTTTAGTTGGTGTGTACTAATAACCTTCTGTTTTGGAGTAGAAGAGATTTGTTGGGGAAGTTTGCATGATGTAGTTCATGAAGCGCCTTAAATAGTTTGGGTTTATTGTTGTAGGTTTTGAATAGAGCAGTAATGGGGTGAAATTATCAATTGTGAAAGATTTTTGTAGTAATTATTTAAATGTCATTGAAGGACCGGAATAAATGAGATTAGTTTGGTAGAAGAAGTAATAGAAAGTATATGAATAAGGTGATATAAAATTGTAGCTCTGCACACTGAGACATGAAGCAAATGTTTTTATAAATGCAATGATGTTAAAATATAAGATAAAAATGTAAAGTAGACTGTATTTGTAACAAGTATATATTTTTTAAAGTGGTATCTTTTTTTTTTTAAGGAAGGGGCCTCTGGCAGAATATTTCTGAAATATTCTCTTGGATCTTTCTCAAGGTCTTTCATTCTTCTGTTTTCCCTTTTAGAACTGCGCTTATGCTAGGTTGCGAGTATGGTTGCAAAGATGCTGTAGAAGTCTTAATTAAAAATGGTGCCGATGTGAGCTTCCTGGATGCCCTGGGCAATGATAGTTTTTATTATGCAAGAATTGGTGACAATCTGGACATTCTGACTTTATTGAAGACTGCATCAGAAAATACCAACAAAGGTACCAGCAGTTTTCTTTAACTAGAGAAGTCCAGGTTAATAAAAAGCAACTTTTAAAGACTTAGATACGAGAACTACCAAAAACCAAACCAAACCAATTGCCGTTGAGTTGATTCCAACTCATAGTGACCCTATAGGACAGAGTAGAACTGTTCTGTAGTTTCCAAGGAGTGCCTGGTGGATTCGAACTGTCAACCTTTTGGTTAGCAGCCGTATCTCTTAACTACTACACCACCAGGCTTTCCAAGAGAACTTCAGTAAGAAGCAAAACATTGCTACCGATAAACGGTCAGTTCATCTCCTTCTCCCACAAGTTTGCTTATTATAGTCATTGTTTTGGGGCAGTGTGTGGCATACATAACCTAGTGTATCGAGCAATCCCTGATACACTGTGGAGTAATTTAAGAACCGAGGAAGAAGAGTCAAATCAGGGATTTTGCTAATAATTTTTTTTTTTGGGGGGTGGGGTGGAGTGAGGCTCTTAACTCTTATACTGACAAAGGTTTAAAGGAAGAATCATTGTTTAAGCATGAACATAAAACACTTAACAATAAATATTAATTGAATGCTTGTGCATTAAAGAGAAACTGGAAAATACAGGAACGCACAACAAATAAAATGTCACCCATCCTACTACTGAGAAACATTTTGAGGAATATCCTTCTAGTCTTTTCTGTATGCATAAAATTGAGATCGTCTGTAATACTGTTTTGCACCTTACTTTTTGCACTTAATGTATTTTGAAGGCTTTTCCCTCATAAATAAATATTTTTTTCTACTGTATGTTTTTTTTTTTTTTTTTTGGTGCATAAAATACCATTTATTTGAAATTAAGTAAGGCCATTCACTGCGTTGTTAAGGAGCCCTGCTGGCATAATGATTAAGTGCTTGGCTGCTAACTGAAAGGTCGGCAGTTCAAACCCCCCAGCCACTCTGCAGGAGGAGAGACCTGGCGTTCTGCTCCTGTAAAGATTGCAGCCTAGAAAACGCTATGGGGCACTTCTACTCTGTCCTGTAGGTTCGCTGTGAGTGTGAATGGACTTGCTGGCACACAACAGCTACATTATTATTTTTTACAGTGAAGAACAATTTTCTGTAGGTCTTAGGTGGAATTTAAATTGTTTACAGTTTTTCACTGTTAAAAATAACAATGTAGTAAATGCCCTTATATGTAAATATTTTAGCATATTTTTATTATCCCTTTGGATCAATTCCTAGAAATTGAATCACTGGGTTACAGTGTATGTACATTTTTAAAAGCTTTTGATATGTTGCCAAATTACTTTCCAATTTAGGAGAGTTTTAAATTTCCTATTTTTTACCTGCCTTCCATCCCTAGCATTTGTTATGATCTATCTGCATATTGTCATATCGAAATAACTTTGCCAATTTGATAGGCAACAATGATATTTCACTATTGTTTTAAGCATAGTTTTTGGAAATAAGACTGTAAAGTACTAAGCATTAGGGGAAACTTTAAAATTTATTTCTTTAATGTATAGTTAGGGGATGCATATCTACCCATGTTAACCTGCTGTTTCACTGTTCCTCTTTCTCTCTACGTCTTTAGGGAGAGAACTTTGGAAGAAAGGGCCATCTTTGCAGCAGGTAGCTTGTAATTTTTTAAAATTATATGTATTATGCACTTTAAGTGAAATGCATAGTAAAATTGGTTAATGGTTATGCATAACTGTTTTGAGTTTAAATGCATACTCTTCTCTTCCTTCAGTTAGTCATGCTAATGTAGTATCTATGAAGATCACGATGTCCTATCAAGAAACTATCACTCAACTTGAGACAATGGATCTCAGTTACAATGACTGTATCCAGTGGGGGCCTCCTGATTGTTGGCCTTGAACATCCAGTCCTTTCAAGTATAAGCTATTGCACCTTAGTGAGATTCTTAAATGATGAGTTTTAGTGTGTCAGATCATAGACAAGTTTCCCCTATTCTACGATAGTAACAGAGTCAAATGTTTGCCATTATTGGAAAATTCTTCCAGTGCAATGCAAAATGAAGAAAACAATTCAAAACTGATTATACATTGTGCTTTCAATACCACTGTTAATATTTTTATTTCTTTTCAGTCTTTTTTTTTTTCCCTATATGTGTGTTTAATTGAGGACCTGACTCGAAAGTAATAACACAATACATGAACTAATTCATACCTTGCTGTTGGGTACTTTTCACACTGATGTTATCAAATCATTGTTTAACCCTGGTTTTCTGTCCCAGTTTGAGTAAATGTTTTACTGTTTTCCTCTAATCTCTTCACGTTAAAGTAAGTGAGGTTACAGCACTCTCACCATCTTGCTCAAAAGCGAGTGTAGGCAGCTTTCCTCTTCTGCTGGCTGTTCCCTTCCAGGCTTTCAGCTTTTCTCTAGTGAGAGGAAGCCGAGCATTTCCAAACCCTGGAGAGAGAGTAATCAGGTACCTTCTGAGCAATTCTGATCATCATTCTGCGTCATTTCTCCACTTCACATGAACCTGAAAGCTATGTTAAAGCATGCTTTCCTTTTTACTCCATCAGAATTAAGTAATACATTCATGCATGTATTATGTCTGTAGACACTTTCCCTTTCCATCCAGAGCAACTTTGCCAACATTCTCCCTCATTCTTCAGGTAGCCTGGGTGGGGATAGAGTAAAATGAAACTTAAATTGTATGACCTGTACTAGCCATCTCACAGAATCATAGAAAAATGTTTTCTGAACTGTACAGATAATTGAAATAAATGATTATTTCATATTAATATGGGAAAACCACTCTGCTCAGTGCACTAGGAATTATCTCAGTGAATATAAGGAGTTAATATTCTGCTAGGAACAGCAGGACTCATGCCTTCTAATTACTTTGTCTCCATTACATATTGAATGTATTTATTGAGAATGTGTTTAGGATTTGTTCTTGTACTAAGGGACTTATAATCCCCGTTCAAGCTCAATGTTGTCATGAAAATAAGACTTATTCAATTTTTTGTTTAACAAATATCTATTGAGCACTTACAGTACACCAACTACTGTTCTAAGTGTTGAGGATATTGTGGTGTACAAAACAAAGTCTTTGCCCTCATGGAGCTCCCAGCCTAGTGACAGAGATGAACAATAAGCAAATGAATATTTAGTATCATAGCAGATGCTGTGAAGAAAAGCAAAACAAGATTAGGGGATGAAGGGAGGGCGGGTGGGTGGCTATTTTAGGTTGGCTGGTCAGCACAGGCCTCTCTGAGGAAGTGACCTTTGGGCAGAGTTCTGAAGAAGTGAGGGAGGGAGCCATAGAGCTCTGTGGAAGAAGCCTCACACGCAGAGGGAGAAGCAAGTACCAAGCCCCTGATGAGGGAGCATGTTTAGCATGTCTACGGGGCAGTAGAAGGCCAGAGTGACAGAAGTGGGTATGCATGGTGGATGGTGGCAGGAGAAGACAGTGGTGAGGTAACCAGCGCAAGATGGTATAGGGCCTTGTATGGTAAGGCCTCTGGATACACATCCACTGATAACTGAGTATAAGGCAGGAGATGAATACAAGTCCATGGTGCAGATCATCACTGCTGCATGGATTCAGAGCGGCAACAGAGAGACTGTTTTAGGGTGGTGAGGCTTCGTCCAGAAGATGAATCTTTAAAGGATTGGTTGATTTAGGAAGAGTGAGTTGGGTTGGATAGATAGTAGAAGTTGAAGATTAAAAAAAAAAGGAGGTTATTTGTTCTCTTGTTTAATAATTGTATTATGTTTTTATTAAAGCAAATTTCTAAGCCAGAATAAAGTTCAAAGCAGTAAGTATACAAAAACAGAACATCTACCCAATCAAGTTATTTAAAGATCTTTATTTAGCTCAGGTCAGAGAATTATGTCTGTCTCTTCCTTATCACACCCCTTGATATTTTATTTCAGCAGTGCTTAGACAAGTAAATAATTTCCGTATTTCTGTCTATATTAATGTACTTCCCAACTTTCCTGCCAGCTTTTTTTCCCTTTGGGAATGGTTGTGATGCTGTATAGTGCACCTTTGTGTCTAGTATAAATTCTCCTTTTTAAAATTTAGTGACTTTAGAGATAAAACATTCTTAACAATTAGTATTTTCAATTTTGTTAGTAGTATTTAAGCATAAACTATACTTGATTTATTTAAATGCCACATACTTAAAGATGCTTTCCATTTTGAGGTTTTAAATGGAAACACTGCCACCATGTGTTATGTATGGCAAAATTTAATGTTGGATAAACTGAAAACCACTAATTAAGCTTATTGTTGCTAACCTGCTTTCTTACGTTTTACCAAGCGACATTTGACGCATATGCAAGAAGAAGTAAATAGGAAGTCAAATCAGAGGGAGCATCAAAGCTTTCAGGTACAAAGAAAAAACATTCGGTGTCTTCCTTTACAAAGATTTCCAGTGGTGACTGGGTGGAGGGGAAGAAAAGGTAGGAGCAAAAAAGTAGGGAAGATGATTCGGGGAAAGGGGGACAGGTTGTTATGGTTTGAGATTTTGTTTTCTTGACCAATCCCTTTTATAAAGAATTGACTTTCAATGTAAATGTTTGAATCAGTATTTTATATATATATATGTATATATAACATTAGAAATGTGGTATAGAAAGTATTGCTTTAGTATATATTGGAAGCAAATAATTTAACTAACAATTTTATGTAAGCCTTTGTTAATTTAAATGTGTCTGTCGTTATGATGTAAACCATAAATTTATATTCATTTTGGAAAATTATTAATTATGGTTATGAAAGTGATGGTTTGTTGTTGTTTTGTGCTGTCTAGTCAATTCCAACTCGAAATGACCCTATAGGACAGAGTAGAACTACCCCATAGGGTTTCTTAGGCTGTAATCTTTATGTGGGAGCATGTGGGAGCAGATGGCCAGGTCTTTTCTCCTGAGTAGTAGCTGGTAGGTTCGAACCGCTGACCTTTCGGTTAACAGCCAAGCCAAGGCTCCTTAAAAGCAATGACAATTAATGTAAATAACATAAAATCTAAACTTTTTATTAAAATATTTTTTATTTTGATTAAGAAAAATAATTTTACATTAACCACATAGTACTTTTTACATTTTATGTTGGCCAAAGTTTTCAAAAAACAATTATTATAAGGATTATATTGAAGCAAGAATACAAAATTTGAATAGTTTATTATATGACTGAAACACCATTAAAATATAAATTGAATAGCTCTTTTCCATATGATAAAACAAAAGCATTTTATTTGGGTTTTCATGCTTTGCTCATAGTTTACCATTAGTTTTAGGAAAATGAATTATAGTTACTATTCTTTGTAGCCTTACATGTTTTATCAGAGCATTGAAGTGTTCATTAGTTTAACAAAAGCATTAGAATAGTTTCATAGACTTGGAAGGTTTATTAAGCAAGTTTAAAATGACATATTCTGCTATTTTCTATTTCCAGATGATGCTTTTATTTATTTATTGCAATCATGATTTGCTCTCTTATTCATAATTATATTTATTAGATATTATAGAAGGAGCCCTTGTGGCATAGTGGGTAAGTGCTCGGCTGCTAACTATGAAAGGTCAGCAGTTCGAACCCACTAGCTGCTCAGTGGGAGAAGAAAACCTGGCGATCTGCTCCCGTAAAGATTATAGCCTAGGAAACCCAACGGGGCAGTTCTTCTCTGTCCTATAGGATTGCTATGAGTCAGAATCGACTTGACGGCACACAACAACAGAAACAGATTATCATAGAACAGGAATATTCTAAATTATTTCTGTAGATTTTAAGTCATTTGAATGTTTGTCATTGAAATTATTGTCTCTTTTTTACTTAAAGTTTTGTATCTGTGTATATCTGCATGTGATAGAGAACTGTCTTACAATTTCTGCTGTAAGAAGTACTCTTTGAAGAGTGGTCTAGCACCTGTTATCTTTATTTTTTAAGGATCTAGAGATTGAAAATGAAGATTTGAAAGAGAGGTTGAGAAAAATTCAACAAGAACAAAGAATATTGTTGGATAAAGTCAATGGTTTACAGCTACAACTGAATGAGGTAAATAATCTGCATAATACAAAAAAAATCCAAAAACTAATTTACTACCAGGAACTGTCATCAATCATGGTGACCCCACGATTTGGAATCGACTTGATGGCAATGGCAACTGGCAACAACCGTCATCAGTAAGAGATTTTTTTTAAAAATTGCACTTTAGATGAAGGTTTACAGAAGAAACTAGTTTCTCATTAAACAGTTAGTGCACATATTATGACACTGGTTACCAACTCTACAATGTGTCAGCACTCTCCCTTCTCGACCTTGAGTTCCCTATTACCAGCTTTCCTGTCCCGTCCGGCCTTCTAGTCCTTGCCCCTGGGCTGGTGTGCCCCTTTAGTCTCGTTTTGTTTTGTGGGCCTGTCTAATCTTTGGCTGAAGGGTGAACCTCGGGAGTGACTTCATTACTGAGCTAAAATGGTGTCTGGGGGCCATACTCTTGGGGTTTCTCCAGTCTCTGTCAGGCCAGTAAGTCCAGTCTTTTTTTGTGAGTTAGAATTTTGTTCTGCATTTCTCTCCAGCTCTATCCGCAACCCTCTATTATGATCCCTATCAGAGCAGTTGGTAGTGGTAGCCGGGCACCATCTAGTTGTACTGGACTCAGTCAGGCGGAGGTTGTGGTAGTTGTGGTCCATCAGTCCTTTGGACTAATCTTCCCCTTGTGTCTTTAGTTTTCTTCATTCTCCCTTGCTCCCAACAGGGTGAGAGCAATGGAGTATCTTAAATGGCTGCTCACAAGGTCTTAAGACCCCAGACGCTATTCACCGAAGTAGAATGTAGAATATTTTCTTTATAAACTATGTTATGCCAGTTGAGCTGGATGTTCCCCAAGACCATGGTCCCCACAGCCCTCAGCCCAGTAATTCAGACTCTCAGGAAGTTTGGATGTGTCAATGGAGCTTCCATGACCTTGCCTTGTACAAGTTGTGCTGACTTCCCCAGTATTGTGTACTGTCTTACCCTTCACCACAATAAGAGATTTTTAATGATCTGTCAGATCCAAGTCATGGTACTGGGTTCTAAAGTCGATAAACTAGCTAAAATCAGGTCATTGCTCTTGAGGAGTTGTGTCTTACTAGCTACCATGACGTTTACATGAGGGCTTCTTCATAGGACAGCTCATGACACAGCAGCTTTAAACAACAGAATTAACAGTTTTGGTCTAATATATATTTAACCCTGGACTTAAGAAATAGAGAATTTGTATTCCTTTCAAGTATACAAGGATAGTCGTATTGATGTTCATTTTATTATATGTTAAATATTTAAAGTATTGAAATGGTACATTATATATATTCTTGTATATGTGATATATTTCACAATAAAAAATTAATACCAAAGAAAAGGTGATTATCAATAATTTAGGTGTGTGGTAGTAACGAAGGACTGAACTATATTTGGGGCTGTGGAATTGGAGAGGGAGGAGTGGATGGTAGATGTGAAGAGGAAGAGCGAGTAGGACTTGATGACTGAGGTGTTCTCAGAAGAATCTGAGTCTGGCTGGTGAGAAGAATGAATGGCAGTAACTCATACAGCAGGACTGGTGATAATAGACAGTTTCTTCTCACATCCTTGTTCTCAGTCTTAAAGATATGTGACTCTTGAAATAGACTTTCAAAAATTAAAATAAATTTCTTCTTCTTTTTCAATTTAGGAAGTAATGGTTGCTGATGATCTGGAAAGTGAGGTAGGCTGATCATTTTATTTTAAATCTGTAATAATGTTTTGTATATTGAAGATGATATTGTAGTAAAGGTTTTAATTCCTGAATTTAGATGGAGAACAGTATTTTATTTTTGGTTGTTACTTAAAGGAAAAAAAAAAAACCTACCACGTGACCGTAAGTGCATGTTCTGAGTATAGTAGCATGGGTTATTGTACGCCTTTCAATGGCTCGTTTTTTTTTGTGTGTGTGAATCTTTTCATGAAAAAATGTAAAATATTAAACATTAAAATGTCTGAAAATGCTACAATTTAAAACAACAGAAATGTGAATTTTTCATGATATTATTTGTATGTGTTGTATGTTTTATTAATATATTGTAGAAATTACTAACCCTACTAATAATTAAAGGAGCCCTGGTGGTGCAGTGGTTGAGAGCTTGGCTGCTCACTGAAAGGCTGGCAGTCCGCACTGTCAGCCGCTCCTTGGAAACCCTGTGAGGCGGTTCTCCTCCGTTCCGCAGGGTCACTGGGAGTCGGAAGCGGCTGGACGGCAACGGGTTTTTTTAAATAATTAAAAGCCACAGGTTGGCGATTTCATTGTTAATTCCATTCTTTAAAGTAATTCTGATTCACATTTTCTAGAACACCCTGTAACCCAATTTTAAGTGCAGGGTGATTTTGCTGTTTTTATTTCTTGCCATTTCAGAAAGAAAAGCTGAAGTCCCTTTTGGCAGCTAAAGAAAAGCAACATGAAGAAAGCTTAAGAACTGTTGAGGCTCTGAGAAATAGATTAAAGTTTTCAGAGGTATAGAAAACTTAATTGAATTATTTCATGTAACTCCTAGTGGGTAGTGGGAAGCTGGCTTGGAGTCAGACTTGAATTCAAGTGATCATTCTTTTCTTTACAGTGTGACCTCAGGTAATTTATTTAAAGTCTCTGAGCTTGTTGCCTCTTCAGCAAAATTGGGATGATTATCCCTTTCTCCATAGAGTTGTTGTCAAGGTTAAATGGGATAATTGACATTTACCAGTATGTAACTGACATTTAGTTCCATTCTAGTTTAGTTCCTCAAACTTCTTCTTTGTCCATCTTTACCTTTTCAAAACTTCATAACTTGTAAATTTGCAATGATTATGATGATGATAATAAAGCATCGTAATAATGAATATGGTATTTCAGGATTATCTCAGAAAGGGTTTTGTGTGTATATGGTTTAATTAGAACACTTTGGCCAGAGTGGTGTGTGTTAGTAAGGCTCAGATGGTATATTCATCTTTGGTTGCATCAATTAGTTTTTCCGTATTTTTTAAACAAAGTAGTACACATAAGTGTGTAAGTCAAAGAATTTTCACAAATTGAATCCACCCAGATCAAGAAACAGAACATTACCAGTACCCAGAAGCCTTTATCACACTTGTTTTCTATCATCACCCACCCTCCCCACACCAAGGCTAACCACTCATTAATTATAAATATATATATTCGTTTTGCAAGGCATATAGATTTTACAAATGTCGTTCATCAGTACGGGGTTGCTAAAGAGGTGGCTGATTCAGCATGAATCTTTTATCCTTATTTGGGGATATAATTCCAAAGTACATAACAAAAGTAATTTTTTTTCTTTGTGAATAATATGCGTGCAACTGTGAAAAAGAATGAAAAATACGAGTGAATCTCACAGACATAATGTTGCATCAAGAAATCAGGCACACACAGAATACATTCTGTATGATTCCGTTTTTATGTAGTTCCAAAACAGGCAAAGCTAATGTATGGTGATAGAGGTAAGAATAGAAGGCACCCTTCGATGAGGCATGACTAGGATGGTGCGTGAAGAAGCTTTTGAGGGTGCTAGAAATGTTCTGTATCTCAGTCTGGGTTGTGATTACACATGGTATACACATGCAGAAATTCACTGAACTGTACACCTAATATTTGTATACTTCAGAGCAGGTGAGTTATGCCTTGATAAAATTTTTTTACATAGAGCCAAAAAAAAAAGTGTGTTTAATATTTATATGTCTGTACACATAGGGTCAAGATTATTCAAAATCAGAGTTTTATAAGCTAAAGAATGATCTGGTGTAGCGGCTTCCGTTATTTTTCACATTTGAAGAATCTTTGAAGGGTGATATTGAAACTAATAGTAACTGATGTCCTAGCACTGATGACCAAGTGCCAGGCACTGTGTGGTACACTTCACGTGCATTTAACAAACACATCAAGCTTTTGTTATTATCTCCACTTTATACACGAGGAAACAGAGGCACGGAGAGGTTTTTAAAAAACTTACCCAGGAGGGGTTTCACAAATAGCAAGTGGCAGAGACAGTCTGGCTCCTTTGTGCCCTTAACACAGTACTACTTTTACTCTTAGAATAGGTCGAATGAGGTAATACAGATGTGTATATGGGCCCTTTGAATACTCATCAAGGTTTGATGCCTGTAATTTGATAGAATCTTTGTCATGTCTTAAAGAATCAAATGTTTTTCTATAACTTCTTTAGACAAACTGAGGGTCAAGTCTGTAACTTTCAGTAAGGCTAATAAATTATAGAAAAATAACGTATTTTTCTTATCACAAAACAATATATTATTAGAAAAATTAGAAAGTATAATTAAGCTAAAAGCAGAAAATAAAACACTCATGATCCCAGTGCTGAGGGATCATGACTGCCAGCACCTGAAGGACGTCCGCTGAGACCTTTGTACATCATTTGAGGGTTGCAATCACACTCAACAGGCGGGATCATATTGTGCATCCTGTCTTGTAATTTTTTTTACTCAATATATTGGGGACTTTTTCCCCAGTCACTGCATCTTCTTTGTAATGAATTTTTATGCTAGAAATGATTATGACTTTCAGAAAGATAAGTACAGGGCCCACTTTATATGTGACTGTATTTATGAAGGCAGCCATTAACAACTAAGAATTCATCATTTACAAAAGTTGACTGTCCAGTTGCTGTATCATTTCATGTGCTTCAGAAACGTCATATACTGCCAATAGAATTACTGGATTATGTGCAGTACTTCATATGTAGTTATTTCACTTATGTTTATAGAAATAATATGGGAAAATGCAGATATTTTAGAATGAGGTTAATTTTATAACTCACGCATTTGTTTTCATTTGAATAGTAAAAGAAAGGTAATAAACCCAAACTAAGTTTTTTGAACTTTTTCTGTGCCTAGGACCTCACTCCCAGATACGTATTTGAGCCCATTTAGATATTGCAAAGAAAAAAGAGATTAACAAAGTTTATAAATATTTTTCAATACTGTTGAGGCACTAAAGATCATTGGAAGTGGCATTTATTTAGTTATAAAACTGTGCTCCGTTTTTGTAGTGGTCACATAAATTGGAGCTTGATGCATAGCTTGCTAGTACTGATGTACACAAACACTAACAGATACAAATGCGTATCCTTACTCTTGAAGTATAATATTTGAATTTATATATTAGATACGTTATGTTTGGATTACTTGGAAAAGGAGCAATCCAAGTATATTATGATTCCGTGATCTAAAGTTTCTCTGTTATTCTCCCCTTCTTAACTGATACATTGATGGATTTATTACTAACTGTTGGAGCCCTGATGGCACAGTGGTTAAGAGCTCAGTTGCTAACCAAAAGATTGGCAGTTCTGTCCACCAGCTGCTCCTTGGAAACCGTATAGGGCAGTTCTACTCTGTCCTGTAGGGTCGTTATGAGTCGGAATTGACTCGACGGCAATGGGTTTGGTTTTTTGGTAGATAAGTTCTTGCCTCAGTTTTATGTCCTACTGTTGGTCTCCTTTTGGCTTTAAAAGTAATCAGTATTCTAGAAATGCTGAAGGAAGAAGGTTATACTAATATTTCATAGTCAGTGGTGTAGGGTTCCTGCTCCCAGCAGTGGTTAAGTAAAAACAAGTCCTTGATGTGAATGTGGTATTCCTTCTTGGAGGTAAAGCAGCAGCAAACACTGCATATTGAAAATTGTTTCAGTTCATTTGGAGCTCAGTTTTTTCTTTTGAGCAGTAAAGTGATTTCCTTGAAACACTTGGCTGCTGTTATTAACGTACTTAGTGAAGTAGTTTATTCCCAACTGATCTCTCAGTAATCTCTAGTGTGATCTCTTTCCGTGGGTCCAAGTAGAGTAATACTTAGGAGAAAAAAGGAGTGTTAAAGGTGTGCTTATAATGATTGGATCATTGAGAGCTAATATAGATGCAGAATTTTTTAAAATGAAGCAGCATTCACCTAAAATGGTGTAATTTATACTTCTGATTTCAGAGTGATCATTTAGCATCAGGAAGTCATTTCAGTAACCGTAAGTATAAAAATATACATCATTGCAGTTCATCCAATTCAAGCAAAGAAGAATGTTCATACCTTTTGATTTTGTCTAACTGTATATGGTAATCCTGCTGCAAAACTTCATCCAGCTACTTGTGTGCTGTACCTAGGCAGATGGAGCTGGGTGCAGGTTAAGATGAGTACTATGGCCTCTGACATAAAATCTGGTAATCACTGAGGCCCTGTTTTTCCTTAGCCACCTATATTTTTAAATTGCGTATTGTATGAATTACCAAAGTTGCGTTGTGTATTAGTAGACATTTATCTTGTGATATCTGGGGCTTGCTTTTTATGTAAAGAGCATAAACATAATTTTCTGATTTGGAGAAATCTTTGGATATAGTCTCAATGCAAGTAAGCATTTTAAATTTAGAAACTTGATAAACAGTTATTATTTAAAAACTATACATAATTAACCTTCACTTTGTTTATTGTTTTACAGTTTTAAATAATTTATCCAGAAAATCTATTTTTTTTTTGCTTCCCAGTGATTATTAAATAATCCTCTAAGTACAGTAGTAACATTTGTCCCATGAATTGCAAAGAATACCATTTTTATTTTGACTGTAAGATACATATTTTATAATAATCATGTAGCTAATTTAGCCTAACAATCTTATGTTTCTAAAAACAGCTGAGTACCTATTGTCCAGTAGAATATAAGTATTTTCCTTACATTTATAGAAATAACAAGGAAAAATACGGAGGATATTTTAGAACAAGAATAAGGAGCCCCGGTGGTGCAATGGTTAAGTGCTCAGCTGCTAATCTAGGGGTTGGTGGTTTGACCCTACCCAGTGGTAAGAGAAAAAAAACAACCTGGCGATCTGCTCCATAAAGACTACAGCCTAGAAAATCCTGTGGGGCAGTTCTGCTCTGTCACATGGAGTCACTATGCTGGACAACAACAACAGAACAGAGTAATTTTACATTGTCAATCGTACTTCTCTTTAGTTTGAATAACAGAGATGATAAACCAAACTAATATTTAGCCTACTTTGGTAGGGATATTTAGTTAAAATGTCATTTATTTTTACTTATTTAGGAAAAGAAGAGATGCTTCTTAAACAAGGCCAAATGTATATGACAGACTCACAGGTAATAATTATTTTTAAATTAAAAAAAAAAATGTTTGCCTTAATATAATTAAGAGGAAAACAGCATTGTGTCTTTATCAAGTGTATATATATTTAATAAGGTTTTCATATCAAAGAAAAATTAGTTTGGCTTTATTGAGTTTGATAAAAATAGGTGTGACTGTGTCTGGTGCTCTCTAGAGTGTTTTTGATGACAGCGGCTTAAATAAGAGATTGGATTTGCAACTTCATTGTCGTTGATAGTGACCCTCTGTTCATTAACAGCACCCAGTTAGCCCTTGATATTTGTCCATGTAAGGGAAGACGCAGGCATGAATAATACTAAAGGAATTTATTTTGGCTCTGAAATGTATTTTTCCTTGCATTCAAGTATATTACGTATTCTGTGTTTTGGGTATTTACCTCAGAATAAAGAAGGCTTCTAAGAGGTAGAGTACTGGCTGATTTTCTTACCTGTTTATCTGCTCCTGGCCTTTACTTTCCAGTGGATACAAGGTTTGCATTTTTAGCCCCTCTGTGGACTGGAGAACTGATAAATATTTGACTTGTTAAGGGCTTTTTTTGCATACCCTTTTCTGTAGGCAGCTAGAGTTAGCCTATATATGTCTAAGATCTCTTCAAGATGGAAAATTCTAAGATTCCAAATTGAGAAGATGAATATCAACTGAATAGTATTTAAGATTAGCTAAATATTTGATTATAATAAAACAAGCATGGATGTTGGGAAGCAGCGTAATAGTTTGTTGGTAAATTATAGTAGCCTTAATCTAAAGATAATTGGTAAGCTGAAAGATAATTTATAAGCAGACTGAGGCTTGGAGATGAGTCCACGTCAGTTTTCTTCCTGTTGATTCAGTGAAAGGCGTTCAGATTGAGCTGAACAACAGTCAGCATGCCTGTTAAATGGTGCAGTGTGCTCACAGCACATGGCCTTTAGCAACGACCTAGTACTTGTAAAGAACCTTTATTTTATTAGGCTGAATTGGGGAAAGATAAAGATGGTTACATTTAGTCTTTTGTGATCATTTGTTTGGATATTTGTGAACTATTTCACTGAGAAGTTTAATCATACTTGCTTTTTTGTTAGACCTTAACAGAGGGAATAAGATGTTAGTCAAATTGTGTGAAGATCATGTGCTAAGTTCTAATTCATCTTCCTATTTGGGAGAAAAATCTTATTTCTTTTTTATGAGTTGACTAACATTTTGTTGACAACTCTTATACCAGCTGTGCTTATTTTGGTGGCGTTTCTGTAATTTAACCAACATTACATTGGAGTTAACAATGAGGGTACTTATAAGTCATGTATTTTATTAGAAATTAAAGGATATATCATTCTGTGAAATTGTTTGTGGATTTAAAATCGCGGTATTTGTTTTTATTCAAGGTTCTGATGATTGTCTTCAAAATTCAAAGGTGTAAGCACATTATGTACCATAAAACATAGAAATAACAATGTGTTTTGATATAATTGATATTCATGTGTGGGTAGGAATTATGAATGGGGAAAAAGAGAAAATAGTGAACAGAGGTGACAAATATTTTCCTTCTTTTTTCTGTCAAAAATAGACTTAAGTGAATAGAACTCTCAAAATATTACCACTTAAGAGCGTATGAAGGAAATCATACCCAAAACTGTTTTTTCTTACCTCAAAAATCAGTACTATATTTTTCCAACATACTAGTCAGAAAACCCTTTGACTACAGACAATGCAGAAACTTTCTATAATTTTGGCAGATATAAGTATGTTACGTATGGTAAGATAAGTATGTCTTGTTTAGGCTTTTGTGATTGACGTCTCTTTTTTTTTTTTTTTTTCAGTGTACTTCCACAGGGATGCCAGTACATATGCAAAGCAGATCTATGTTAAGACCACTGGAGCTATCTTTACCCAGCCAAACCTCGTATTCTGAAAATGAAATTTTAAAGAAAGAGTTGGAGGCAATGAGAAGTTTCTGTGATTCAACAAAACAGGACAGACTCAAGCTCCAGAATGAACTGGCTCACAAAGTGGCAGAGTGCAAAGCTTTAGCACTAGAATGTGAAAGAGTCAAGGAGGATTCAGATGAGCAGATAAAGCAACTGGAAGATGCATTAAAAGATGTGCAGAAGAGAATGTATGAGTCAGAAGGTAAAGTGAAACAGATGCAGACACATTTTCTCGCCCTTAAAGAGCACCTAACTAGTGAAGCAGCTACAGGGAACAGCAGATTAACAGAGGAACTGAAGGAGCAGTTGAAAGACATGAAAGCAAAGTACGAAGGCACTTCAGCAGAAGTGGGAAAATTAAGAAACCAAATCAAACAAAATGAAATGTTAGTAGAAGAGTTTAAGAGGGAAGAAGGCAAGCTGATAGAAGAAAATAAACGATTGCAGAAGGACTTTAGTATGTGTGAAATGGAGCAAGAGAAGAAAGGAAGACAGATCACAGAGATGGAAGGCCAGTTAAAAGAATTGGTAGCAAAATTAGCCCTTTCTGTTCCGACAGAAAAATTTGAAAACATGAAGAGCTTATTATCGAATGAAGTGAATGAGAAAGCAAAAAAATTAGCAGAGATGGAAAGAGAATATGAAAAATCTTTTAGTGAAATTAGACAGTTGAAGAGAGAACTGGAGAACTTTAAAGCTAAGCTTGCTCAGCATGTCAGACCAGAGGAACACGAGCAGCTCAAGAACAGATTAGAGCAAAAGTCCGGAGAACTTGGGAAGAAGATCACTGAATTAACATCGAAAAATCAGGCACTCCAAAAGGAAATTGAGAAGGTTTATCTGGATAATAAACTCCTCAACCAGCAGGTACATGACTTAACAGTTGAAATGAAAAGTCATTATGTTCCTTTGAAAGTAAGTGAAGAAATGAAAAAGTCACATGATGTGATTGTTGAAGGTTTGAATAAAAAGCTTTTAGATGTAACACAAAAATATTCTGACAAGAAGTTGGAAATGGGCAAGTTGCTGATGGAAAATGACAGTTTAAGTAAGAATGTTAGCCGCCTGGAATCTGTGTTCATACCTCCTGAGAAACACGAAAAAGAGACAGTGGCTCTGAAATCCAGTATTACTGAACTGAAAAAACAGCTGTCTGAACTTACTAAAAAATGTGGTGAAGACCAAGAAAAAATACATGCACTCATGTCTGAAAACACTAACTTGAAAAAGACTATCAGTAATCAGTACGTGCCACTTAAAACCCACGAAGAGGTAAAAACCGCGTTGAGCAGCACGTTAGATAAAACTAACAGAGAATTATTAGAGATGAGGAAAAAAATTGAAGATAAAAATCAAGACTCTCTAAAAATAAAACATGAGAATGATATACTAAAAAGAAACCTGGAAAACACTCACAACCAAATGAAAGCTGAGTATATCAGCCTGAAAGAGCATGAGGAGAAGATGAGTACCGTAAGTAAGAGCATGAAGAAGGTAGAGGATAATAGTGCGGAAATATTGGCTAACTACAGAAAAGGCCAAGAAGAGATTGTGAGGCTGCATGCTGAAATCGGAGCCCAGAAGAAGGAACTCGACACAATACAAGAATGCATTAAGCTAAAATACACTCCAATCACCAGCTTTGAAGAGTGTGAGAGAAAATTTAAAGCAGCAGAGAAAGAACTAAAAGAACAGTTATCAGAGCAGACACAGAAGTGTAGTGTCAGGGAAGAGGAGGCCAAGAAGTGCAAACAAGAGATTGAAAAGTTAAGGAAGGAGATTGTCTCCCTTCAGAAAAATTTAAAGGAGAAGAATGTTCTCATTGAGAATTCTCATGAAATGGAAAGAGCTTTAAGCAGAAAAACAGAAGACCTAAACAAACAGTTAAAAGACTTGTTACAGAAATACACAGAGGTAAAGAATGAGAAAGAGAAGCTAGCAGAAGAAAATGCCAAACGGACTCCTGAGATACTTGCCGCACAGACTCTTTTGCAAAAACAGCCTGTTCCATTGGAGCAGGTTGAGGCTCTGAAAAAATCTCTTAATGACACAATTGAGAATCTAAGGGAAGAGCTGAAGAATAAGCAAAGGTGTTATGAGAAAGAGCAGCAGACAGTGACCAAACTGCACCAGATGTTGGAGAATCAAAAGAACTCTTCTGTGCCCCTGGTGGAGCATTTGCAAATTAAAGAAGCATTTGAGAAAGAAGTTGGAATCATAAAAGCTAGCTTGAAAGAAAAGGAAGAAGAAAGCCAAAACAAAACTGAAGAAGTCTCCAAACTCCAGTCTGAGGTTCATAATACTAAACAAGCATTAAAAAAATTAGAGACTAGAGAGGTAGTTGATTTGTCTAAATTTAAAGCAATGAAAAGTGATTTGGAGACACAAATTTCCAACTTAAATGAAAAATTAGCCAACCTGAATAGAAAGTACGAGGACGCGTGTGAGGAGGTCTTGCATGCGAAAAAGAAGGAACTCTCTGCAAAGGATGAGAAGGAATTACTACATTCTAGCATTGAGCAAGAAATCAAGGACCAGAAAGAACGATGTGATAAGTCCTTGACAACAATCACAGAGTTAGAGAGAAGAATACAGGAATCTGCTGAACAAATCGAAGCGAAAGATAATAAGGTAGGCACAAGGTAGTCTGTTCGACTATGAGTTGAAAAGCCCAAAGCAGAAATGTTAGTACAAGGAGAAGGAGGATAGAACTGTTTGCCATAGTATTAAGGAGCTCTGGTGGTGCTGTGTTTAAGCGCCTGACTGCTAACTGAAAGGCCAGCAGTTCAAACCCATCAGTCACTCAGCGGGAGAAAGATGTGGCAGTCTGCTTCTGTAGAGATTACAGCCTTGGAAACCCTATGGGGGCAGTTCTGCTCTGTCCTATATGGTTGCTATGAGTTGAGATCAACTTGATAGAAATGGTTTTTGTTTTTTTTTGCCATAGTATTGCAGACAGGTTTAGAAGAGTATTAACAAAGTGACCATTAAATGCTACCTTTCCAGTCTAACTACTGGTATGCAAAAAAAAATCTGAATTTAAAGTAAAGTCACACACACAAAAATCAAAAGTATTTTTCTGTCTGTTCCTTTAACTGGTGTAGTCAAGGATTGAGGAAAAGATGGGGAGACTCATGGTTCCCTTGCTTCCTAAATGAATGGTTTTAGGGCATCTGAAGAATGGGAATGGAGACAAGGAAAAAAGCTGATTCTGGGCTGCAAGAAGCTGAGGACGCTGGGGAGCATCTGCAGCTTGATCTTAGCACTCACCCATAACAGTAAATCGAGCCCTCCAATTCATTGCACCTCTGTCCCCATGTCTTTCTACAGACTGGTTCCTTTGCTCAGAATGCCCTGCACCCCCTTCCTACTGAGCTGATTCCTGTACAGTCTTTAAGACACATTTTCACACCATTCGTCCTTCCTAAAGCCTTCACTGTCCAATCTAACCTACAGCAAATTGCTCCTCTTCCAAAATGTGTGGTTTATATTGGGCTTTGCCATCCATTTAAAGCATTTATATCACTATGTTAGATTTTGGTGATTGGTCTTCCCAACCAGTTTTTCTTTTTAATTTTTTTATTGTGGTAAATATATATATATATATATATATATAAAACATTTGCCAATTTAACATGTACCATTCAGTAACATTGATTATGTTCATCATGTTGTACAACCATCACTAATATCTGTTCCCAAATTATTCCACCACCATTTACAGAAACTCAGTGCCCAACCAGTTTTTTAAGAGCAAGTTTTATAACTTACCTTTCCTTCTTATCTTTCATTTTCATTGTACAGTTTATAGAATAGGTGCTCAACAATATTTTTGTAGTTACAAGAGTCAACAATTTTAAGTGTCTTCTACATGCCAAGTACTGTGTTCAGTGTTATGGATACGATGATGAATAAAAGCAGACACAGCCCCAGCCCTTCTTAGTGGAGAGGTTCAAGTACTAATCTTCAGGCACATCTGCCAATATAACCCAGAATATAAATGCCCTTAGTTTGTTTGTAAGGTGGTTGTGAATACAATAATGTATAATTCCAACAGCTAGTTAACTAATAGCTACTTGGAGACCCTGGGTGGCACAAATGGTTAAGAGCTAGACTGCTAGCTAAAAGGTTGGCAGTTTGACGCCACCCAGAGGCACTTCAGAAGACAGGCCTGGCGATCTGCTTCCGAAAGGTCACAGCCTTGAAAACCGTATGGAGCAGTTCTACTCTGCACACTTGGGGTGGCCATGTGTTGGAATCGACTCGAAGGCAGGTAACAACAACAATATCTATTTACAGCCATTGCCACGTACTGAGCATGTGCTACGTGTCAGGCATATACTTGTGATCGCGTGTGATTTTCTTAACTTGGAAAGGGTTTACCCCTTTCAAAAGAAAGTAAGGCTCAGAAAAGAAAAGGAATCCTCCATGCTCACACAGCGAATAAATGTCAGATTGGTCTGACTTTAAAGCCTGTGCTCTTTCCACTACTCTAAACAGCCTCCCTAATTTTTCTTAAGACAAAGTAGTCTAAAATAATGTGTATTCTTGAAAGGAACAGGGCACATAAATTAATTCTGGACTTAACACAAGCCATTCTTTTTTACTTTTCAAACCTTTTTGGAGGGAATGCACCCTGTTTTCCTGTGCTCCATCTCTGACCTGGATGAGTTCACGTACCTTCATAGGCTCTTAGAGATTATCTGAAAATCAAGAAGACTCATGTCATGTAAATCTTATGAATAAATGATATTTATTCTTAATTTGGTAATGCCTTTGTAAGGAGTTTACTGAGGAATTAGAGAAATTAAGGTACGTACTGTATATATCATTCATAACAATCTTAATATTTATATCTCAGTTTTCTGGCATATCGAGATAAATTTTATGTGTCAAATAATGAATGATTTCTGTGCAGAGATGTTAATATAAATGAATAAGTAAATAATATGGTTCTCCTATTTCTCTCTTTTTTTTATAAGATAACTGAACTGCTTACTGATGTAGAAAGACTAAAGCAGGCTCTCAATGGCATTTCACAGCTTACCTACACGTGTGCGAGTCCCAGCACGAGACAGAGTCAGCTGGTGGAAACCCTGCAGCGCCAAGTGGAATCCCTGCAGCAACAGCTGGCTGTAAGTCACCGACTTGGCGCTGACGTGTGCCAGTTCACCTTTCTGCTTTGTTCATTTGTGAAAGCTTATTTAGAAAGTAAACTGATTTGTGAAAGTGTTCAGAAAGTGCTAAAAGTTACCTATACTAATGGTATAATAATATCATTTACTTGGTGCCTGCTATATGCCAAATGGGGCCCTGGTGGTATAGCGATCAAGAGCTCAGCTGCTAACCAAAAGGTCAGTGATTTGAACCCACCAGTCACTCTATGGGAGAAATATGTGGCAATCTGCTTTCGTAAAGATTACTGCCTTGTAAACCCTATGGGGAAGTTCTACTCTGTCCTATAGGGTGGCTATGAGTCAGAATCGACTTGATGGCAGCGGGTGTTTTAATATGCCAGGCACTACACTAAACATTTCACATACTTCATCTCTAAACTTTATCTTTATCACAATCCTAGAAGGCAGGTTCTACTCTCCCCATTTGGTTCTTAAAGAAACAAAGATTAAAATACTTGACGCCTGGGGTCTTAGAATTGAGATCTAAACCTGGAGCTAGCTGACTCCAAACCCAGTATCTTTCCCACTGTAGTACCTTCTCTAAAATATTGGTCCACTAAACAAAGGGAGTTTTCTTAGAATTCTTTTATCCTTAAGAATAAAAGTAGGCATTCCTATGGTTTTATACCTTGTATTCTTGGAAACCCTGGTGGCGTAATGGTTAAGAGCTACGGCTGCTAACCAAAAGGTCGGCAGTTCAAATCCACCAGGCACTCCTTGGAAACTCTATAGGGCAGTTCTACTCTGTCCTATAGGGTCGTTATGAATTGGAATCAACTCAGTGGCAGTGGGTTTTTTGTTTTTTTTTTATCCTTGACTGTAGTATTAGAAGGAAAGCATGTGGATTCAGAGCTCAGCTCTAAGCCCTGCCACTTAAAAACTGGTGACCATGAAACGTTCCCCTTGACTTTGAACCTTGGCTTCCTCAGTCGTCCGGTAGGACAGTAAGAACTGGTTACGTGTTCGTTTGCTTTTTTAATTAACTGAGCTAATGGGCATTAAGATGATACATAAAACTTAGCACCAATGAAATGTAAAATGTTGCTAGTGTTTTTCTATTCTGTGGGAATTGACTATGAATTGCTTTTGAATACAAGAAAGTTATTTTTTAAAGCGTTCAGTTTTTAAAGGCATTTATTTATTTATTTTTTGGTTTATTGTTGTAGTTTAAGTGAAAGTTTACATTTCAAGTTAGTCTCTTATACAAAAATTTATACATACATTGTTATGTGACCCTAATTGCTCTCCCTATACTGTGACAGCACACTCCTCCTTTCCACCCCTGATTCCCCATGTCCATCCAACAAGCTCCTGACCCTCTCTGCCTTCTCATCTCACCTCCGGACAGAAGCTCCCCATTTAGTCTCATGTATCTACTTGAGCTAAGAGGCACACTCTTCACAAGTATCATTTTATGTCCCAAAGTCCATCCAATCTAAAGTGTTCAGTTTTTAACACTGCTGGCCTACAGACTAATAATGACAGATTGCTGATTTAGATTTTATCCAGAGGATATGGCATTCCCTTTAATATTTGGGAATATTTATTTATACATATTTTTGTTCATGACACTGTGCTAAGCACGAGGAGTTGTGGGTAGTGAGGCAAAATACAGATACATGAAAGGTAAAATAAGACAAGAGATATCAAACAGAACTGAGAATGCAGTTCTAGATTCTAAGTGGTACGAGTTCCCAGGAAGAAAAGATGACATGTGTCAGGAGCTAGTTTCAAAGAGGAAGGGAGTATTTAGCTTGAACTTACAAGATGATTGGTGTTTTGATAGGTAAAAAGAGAATAGAGGCTGTTCCAGGCAAAGAACATCATGTGAAGAAAGGCAAGGGAGTGGAATACACGTGGCATACCCTGGGGCGTGGCATACCTGGGGGCAGTAAAAGGCTGACCAGGCTGGCTAGTAATGGGAGCTGTATTTGAGACCAAACTGTGGAAGACGTTAAGAACCAAGCGGATGAATTTGGAGCCTCTTATATGTAAAGAGGTGTCACTCAGGTTTTGAGCCAGAGTGATTTCAGTAAAGAGGTACTGCAGCTCTGGAAGCATGGTAGGGAGTATGTCTAGAGATAGGGAGACAAAATAGGATATTTCTGTAATAATCTGAAGTATAAGTTGATAGGTGTCTGGACTGGGTTTGAGGCATTAGATGTGAACCTAAGGCAATAATTTCATGTCACGTAGGGTAAGTGGCATTGCTTTCATGCAGGTTTTCGAACCCCTGCTGAGAATTTGCATTTCTTGCAAGTTCCCAGGAAGTTATACATAAGAATCACCTGGGGATCCTGTTAAAATGTAGATTCTGATTCAGTGTATCTAACCGGTTTGAAGCCCTGGTTTCACTGTGAATGTTCACATGTAGCCATTAGAAAAATTGATTCTGTTGTTATGGAATTCTACATCTGGTGGGTCCAAGATGGTTTGATACGAGAAGTAGTGGGAGCACTTCAATTATACTACTACCCGGAAGCGTCTGGTCTAAGGATAGCACTGTCACAAGCCTCCATGCATTTGATAGTGCGAATGCTAATTTTCTGATCTCTCCGTCTTTTTGCATTTCCAGGATACTGACAGGCAACACCAAGAGGTAATTGCAATTTATCGGACGCACCTTCTTAGTGCTGCACAGGTAAAGAACTGTTTTTCTTTTGGGAAGGAAATCATTTTAGAGAATTGTTTTCTTTTTTTGTATTGTTTTTCGAGAAAAAATTTTTTTTTCTTATTTGCAAGTAAATTTATGTGAAAGCAGTTGATATTTAAAGTAACTGTACCCCATATGCTTATTTAAAAATAATTTCATTTCTTTTAATCATGATTGTGTATCTGCCAGAGAAATTTACAAAGCTATATGGCAACACAGCATCTTAAATTTAGTGTTGTCTCCATCTGCTTGTCACTCCGTTTGTAGACAGTTTGGCAACATACGATGGCAGCACACAGTAATGGTGTTGCTAGCGGGCATGGTACCACGACATCACACGTGGCACGTGGCTGTCAGCTAAGAGACGAGGGTGGAAAGGACTTCATATGTTTCTTGATAGCTCAGAAGTATTTCTTTGAAATGTAGAGAGTAGTGTAAAAGTACAAAAATGACAAGTAGGATATGCATAGAATTGTCATAATTAAGGGAAAAGATGGTTCTGTTAGATGGAGCCCTGGTGGCGCAGTGGTTAAGAGCTCAGATGCTAACCAAAAGGTTGGCAGTTGGAATCCGCCAGCTGCTCCTGTTCCTGTTCCACCAGTTCTGCTCTGTTCTATAGGGTCATTATGAGTCAGAATCAAGGTGACGGTAATGGGTTTGGTTTTTTCTGGCGGGGGGAGGTTAGAAGATCAGCGGTAATATATATTACACCGTAAACTCAGTGCAGCATGAGATGAAGAAGTCCCGTCTTTGGGTGTGTGCTTAGAAAGCTTTTTGAAAAAAAATCATATTAAAAAATGATTTAAATACGAAGGATACTATGCTTAATGTTCTATAGAAACTCATCTCCAGAATTCTCAGATTTTTCAGGAAGATGTACTAAAGGGACAAATGCTGGAACAGTGGGTGAGATATAATAGAAACTGTTTCAGAATTTCAGAATTTGAAGTGTGTCAGGCCACATTGTAAAAAAAAAAAGGAAAAAAAGAAAGATAGTTGTTGAGAGAAAGCTTCCAAGAAAGGTCATTAAAAAAAAATTAGGCAAAATAATAAAAAAGAAGAAACTTTATGACATCAGATTCTTAAAATCAAACAGCTTGCCTTTTCTATAGGAGCTGGAGAGGGAACCCATGAAAAGGATGACTGGTATGATAGAGGAAGGTATCTTTTTGAATAGATGGAAGATAAGCTGGGATTTGAAAGTATGTTGCAATTATTAGAAAAGACTGTTGGTGGACACCAACATGGGGAGTTTGTTTGTTGTTGTTGCTAGCTGCAACTCATGGCGACCCCATGCGTGCAGAACAGAACTGCTCCATAGGGTTTTCATAGTGACCCTGTAGGACAGGGTAGAACTGCCCCATAAGATTTCCAGTGAGCGGCTGGTGGATTCGAACTGCCAACCTTTTCGTTAGCAGCCAAACTCTCAACCACTGTGCCATAACGGCAATGGGTTTGGTTTTGTTTTAAAGGTTTTTCAAGGCTGTGTGACCTTTCGGAAGTAGATCGCCAGGCCTGTCGTTCGAAGTGCCTCCGGGTGGGTTCGAGCCACCAACGTTTCATCTAGTAGTCGAGCGCTTACCCATTTGTGCCACCTAGGGACTTCTCTAGGGAGCTTAGGAGAGGAAATAGTATAAAAGCATAGGAGATCTTCATTAGAGAGGGCCAGGAACTCGCTCGGATCTGGTATTGGCCAACAGAGGAAGCACGCACTCTCTGAAAGATACTGCAAACTAACAGGCCTTCCTGCTGACTCCTAATGGAACGTAACAAAAACAATTGGCGTCTGAGATACTCTCGCCTTCTGGCATCATAAAGTTAACTAAGAAGTTCAGCTTAGTCAGCTATGGCTAATGCTTGAAATTTAAACATCCTGCTGTTATAGAAACAGATTTTGGAAGCAAAACTTTTTATATTAGTAGAAAATATTTCAAGTGCTCAAGCGAAAAAAAAAAAGGGGGAGTTGTTTATAAGCACACCATATTGACTTCTTGCATTTAATCAACCTCTTGCCATCTTTTTAAGTTTAAAATGTTTCTCTCTAAATATAAATGGCTACTGTGCACGTAAGGGGCCCTGGTGGTGCAGTGGTTAAGTGCTTGGATGCTAACCAAAAGGTCGGCGGTTCCAACCCACCAGCCACTCTGCGGGAGAAAGATGTGGCAGTCTTCTTCCATAAAAATTTACAGCCTTGGAAACCTATGAGGCAGTTCTACTCTGTGCATGTGCAAAAATGCTCAACCTCACCTGTAATGGGAGGAATGCAAACAAACATGCAGGTACTACTTTGCACCTGTGGGACTAGCAAATTAAACAGGATGATAGTCTGTAATGTCAGCCAGAGTGTTGCGGGAAATGGGCATAAATACCCTGCTGGTGAGCGTGTAAATTGTTGTAATGTCTTAGAGGGCAGGAGCGGGCAGTGTTTGTTCTGATGTACTTAGGGTCACTGTGAGTCCAAACAGACTCGGTGACACCTCACACAACCGTAAAGTTAAAAGCTGAGCCTACTTTTTGACCCAGCAGTTTCTTCCTTAGGAATCTATCCGTTAAGATCAGAAATGCCTTAAATGTCCATTATTGATGGAATGGGTAAAGAAATTATGGTATGTCCATACAGTGGAATAGTATACAATAATTAGGTAAATGTAGAGAAGAATTTCTGTGGCACTTAAGTGAAAAAGCAAGTTGCAAATTATTATATGATCCTGTTTATATAAAAATATACATATGGGGAGTTTTTCATAAATTACTTGTCCAATTAAAAAAAATCCTTGGCAGGAGCAAAAAAAAAAAAATTGTAGTCTGTTTTGCTCATTTATAACTTATACTGCCCCTATCATCTAGGGCTGTTATTAAAAGAGAGAGAGAGAGAGAGAGAGGTTTGTCCATCTGTTTCCTGATAGATGTTAAGAGCAACTGGTGTGCACTGCTTCTAAATTTCTTTTTTTTTCTATTGTACTGTAGATGAAGGTTTACAGAACAAATAGTTTCTCATTAAACAGTTAGTACACATACTGTTTTATGACATTGGTTGCCAATCCCACAACATGTCATCACTGTCCCTTCTCAACCTTAGGTTCCCTATTAGCTTTCCTGTCCCCTCCTGCCTTCTAGTCCTTGTCCCTGGACTGTTGTGTCCCATTGGTGTCGTTTTGCTTTATGGGGCTGTCTAATCTTTGGCTGAAGGGTGAACCTCGGGAGTGACTTCATTACTGAGCTAAAAGGGTGTCCGGGGGCCATACTCTCAGGGTTTCTCCAGTCTCTGTAAACTGACTTTCTTTATTTCCATTGTAGGATGCCACTCCCTTTTCCAATAATTCCTTTAGAATATCACCATGGTGGTGAGGTTTGAGCATTTGATGAATCCCAACTGCTTATGTTCTATTATAAAGCCTTGTCTTTAGCATTCTTGTGTAAATGAAGATGACATAAAGTATTTCTCTTCTTCTTTCTCCCAAGGGTCACATGGACGAAGACGTCCAGGCAGCCTTACTCCAGATCATACAAATGCGGCAGGGGCTTGTGTGCTAGTGGTTAGCGCTGCCCAGCCACTGTCTGCTTTATCTCGCTGGTGCTGAGCATTCTGTGTGCAACTCCACAGCCTTGTTGGGCCTTACTGTGTTAGCAGAATTAAAATAAAATATATTTTCTTCCATCAGTAGGTTTTTTTTTTTAATTAGATGAGTATGCTACTGAGTTTTTCAATATCAGTTCTAATATATTCTATATATGTAAATTCTACAGTTCGGCAAGCAGCATAACACTTTGCCTTGGATTGACTATATTTTTAAACTTTTGAATCCCTAATAATACATGAGTGGGTCCATATGAAGAAAGTTTGGGCTGAAATAATTGTTTAAAGATTTCTTTCAGAGAAATTAATTTGGTCAGTAGCCATTTTTAAGTGGATCAAAAGACCTTTCAGATCCTCATTTGAGTGTGGGACTTACTGCGGTTTCAAGGAATGCATTGTAACTTGGCTGGCCAAGTTACATCTTTGTTGAAGTAACTTAATGAGTGCCTTTGACTTGCTTGGAGGTACACATATATTTTTTCTTCTGATACTAGTAACTTTTATACTTTTTTTTTTAATACATTTCTTTTCATAAATGGTTTGCAGCACTAAATTATATTTGGATTAAGAACAGCAGGGGTGGAATATATCAGGAATTTAAAATAAAATTGCCTCATAATCTTCACAACAGTATCTTAATTTTTACTTGTTGTGAGTTTTCTTGCCACAGTATTTAAAGAACTATGATAAATGGTCTGCTGGATTTCTCAGTGTCAAAAATTGTAGACATTTTTTAGCAATTACTTTGACATTTGCTACTGTAGTAACCAAGCACTCATTATACATGTATCCTCCAAATGTTTCCTACTTATTTACAGGAAAATTGCACTAATGAGATTAATAATGTGAAATGCCATTTTCTTGCAAGATTAGCGTTAGAGTATTGATTTTAGAAAATAGATTTTTAAGATTTTAGACAAAAGTGTAATAACACAATAAACTGTAAAAATATAGGCAGCAAGAAAATAATAACATCAGACATGTTTATGGTGACCACACTAATGTAACCAGCCATTTTTGTGAACTCCATCTCCTTAAAGAAAGTTTGTATGTCTTTTACTTTTATTAATTTGTTGTTTCCCATGCAGATTGAAAATTAATAATTTGTTAGCAGATAAACTGAATAAATGAGTCATTTCAGCCAAATTTTCTTAATTTGCAAAATGTGCCTTAGCAATAATCCCTGAGCATACTGAACCAGGTTTCAACCCCATTTTTGTATAATAACAGGGACAAAGGACCTTCAAAATAGCTTTTCCCACAAAAGAATAAAACCATTGTATTTCTCCAGTATAGAAATAACAGTGGAAAGTCAGAATTGGATTTATTTTTAGTTCTTTAGGTAGATGTACACAGTTTGCATAAGTGACATTTAGTTTCTTTAATTATTATATGTAATGTCCTTCAGAGGAGCCCTGGTGGCACAGTGGTTAAACACTCGGCTGCTAACTGAAAGGTCAGCAGTTCAAACCCACTAGCTGCTTCACAGGAGAAAGATGTGGCAGTCTGCTTCTGTAAAGATCACAGCCTTGGAAACTCTATTGGGCAGTTCTCTCTGTCCTCTAGGGTCGCTATGAAGAGCAATAGACTCCGTGGCAGTGGGTTTGGTTTTTTTGGTGTAACGTCCGTCAGCATGAGTTCTGGTTCACAAGTTTAGGCCATCTGTTGAAGCTCTTGAGTAGAGCAAAGTTCTGTACTGAATACTGACATTTCAGTGTTGTATTTTCCTTATTAAGGGTGGGAAGGGAACCCTATTTTGTGTTATTTTATTTTGCCGTCAACCATCAATAAAATGTTATCTGTGGAATGTTGTTTTGAACATCCTTGTAAAGGATTTGCAAGTTAAATCAATCCATTTCCTGTCTTTGGAGTCTGGAGTCGGGAACAATGGGGTCCAAAGTACAGATGGTGATACCTATTTTATGTTAGCTAGCTAGAGTGAAATATCAAGTAATCTCCTTGAATGAATCCCATTTTTTCATTCACTCAACTTCTGATTTCAAAGGCAGAGATTGCGCTTACAAGACTGAAGACTACAGCTGTTTGGTTAGTGAGCAAGTGGAACCGAGGCAGCGGGCAGTGCTGGCCTCTGCCGGTCTGTGGGCAGGTGGATTATGGCCAAGAGGAAAGATGATATTTGGCTAAGATGTGAGTGCCCTCTGACTCATTAAATTCCTATTTCAATCCTTTGCTGAAAGCTTTATTACTGTTCCATTGTTTTGTTTTGTTTTTCTGTCACTCCTGCTTCAGTTAGAAAAACTCATTCCTTTTGACAGGTCAGTGTTATAAATAGTTGTCTGTTAATAGAAGAGCACATATTTATGCAATGAACACCTTAAACTGTGACACTATACTGACTAATCCCCAGCTATGCCTGTGCTGTTTTGAAACTCCGGATAAGTTTTGCTTAGTCTTTGTCATGGCTTGCTTTTTAAAAACTGTTTCTCTTGACCCTAACCAAATTTTATGCAGTTAAAATGCTTTCTATTATTCTAAATGTGTTGAGTCATCACTGCTGTAAAAATCCTGCAGCCTTAGAACAGGAACACTTTTTTTCCTAGTGTTAGCAGCTGCCCTCTAACAAGGCCCTAAAACCGTGCTCACACACATGCTTCCTGCCTGTCTGAGTGGTTCATGTTCTCTGGCTCCCTTCTTTCCAGGTAGGAAAGGGAAGAGTTTCCATGTAATTTTTGGTGGCCCTGATGACCGCATATACCAGCGCCTGCTTATGCTACTGCCGAGCATTGGATAGCAGTGGTTACTAGCTTTTCTTCACACCTGCTTCCTTGTGGTGGAAGAAAACGGTACTTCTTATGGCCTCCTTGTTTTTCTCATCACTGGATTCTGCAGCCTTGTGGTCATCTTTTTTTCTTCTTGCAAGTTCTGTACTCCAAAGCGGTAGCAGTACCCCTAGCCTCAAAATAAGGATGAACGTGTAAAACACGGTTGCGCACGCTTGGCAGAGAAAAAAATAACCTAGACCTCGCTCCTGGCCACTAAATGTTATGAGTAATTTTCAGAGAGGAAGAAAAGCCAAAGGCGAACAGTGCCAGAGTTGGCACCATAGAATGTATGGTTCACCAGATACAAAATGGAACACAGTAAAGGCATTCTGGCTCTCGTTACATTCCATGACGTCCTCGACTAAACTGGACCTGAGATTTTATTGTTGGAAATTCAGTTATTTCCCATGTTTTTGCTGAGGCTGTTTGAATCAGGAGTCCCTGAGTGGTGCAAACCTTTTAAGTGCTCAGTCGCTAACTGAAAGGTTGGTGGTTCAAGTCCACCCAGAGGCGCCTTGGAAGAAGGGCCTGTGGAGCACAGTTCTATTCTGACACACACAGGGTGGCCGTGAGTTGGAGTCGCCTCGATGGCAACTGGCTTCTTTTTTTGATAATTAGAATCAGCCCTGTCTAGATCAGCTGCTCAAGGTAAATTTTTAACCTGGTGTCTGATTCTTACTGCATGTGTGGACTCTGGGCTCAAGTGAGTCATGAATGTAGAGATTAAAAAAAAAAAAAAAAAAAACTCCTCCGGCTGCCGCAGGATAGCATTCCAGCAAGACTCTCCGGGCAGTGAGACTGTGTGTGCTTAGCATAACCGGGCATGTGGCTTCACTTCTCCATCAGAGGGCATCTTCATTATTTATGCCTGCATGAACAAACACTGACAATGAATGAACTCAAAAGGGAAGGTTACAAAATGTCCTATGTAAATGAAAAAGAGCCAAGAATCGTGAGGGTTGCATGTGTATATATGTGTGTGTATGTATGTAAATGATTCCATTAAAGTGAAATAACGGAATAGACAACAATAAAATCAGTGCCCCTTATAATTGATATTTGGAACCAAATTGTTGTACTTAATGGGCCTGATTTTTATTTTATATTTTAAGCAGGTTTGCTTTTTTTTTTTCCCCCAAGATAGCAGTCTTGGGAATATTCTGAATTCTGGTAAGAGTTTAGAGAGGTTATTGCCTTCTTAATAATTTAGAGCTTCTATTGCTCTGCCAAGTCAGAAGATTAACATTTAATAGAAAAAAAATTCTATATCTATAATTCAGTCACAGCTATTAGATCAGATGGATTTTACATTAAGTGAAAAAGATGTTGAGCATTTAAGGACCATTAAACTACAGGACTCTTTTATTGGATTTTAAGGCCTCCAAGCCAGGGTCCTGCTGCGAAGAGTATTTATTTTACACATACAGAAAGCGTTAAAGCTGGGAGAAGGGCACACATTTTAAAAGAAAATAGGCCATGAAAAAGTGTGATTTTCCACATTGTAACTACCACACGGATTCAGCCTTATTTTATAGTAATTAGTTTCATGCATCATTAAGTAGCTTTCTTACGGGCCAGAAGAATATGGTGAAGGCCACTTTAAAGGTGGTACCTGCAGGAAATCTAAGTAGCTGGGTACTCTGTTGGTATTTTACTTCTAGAAACGACATTTCTAATAGTTCCCAGGATCCTTGAGGTCTCTGTATATTGTAAAGAATTTAAGTGCTCTTTAAGAAGTCCTGGAGAGAAGTCGCTTCTAAGAAGAGTCAAATACTTTTTTTCTAGTGATGCCCAAAGTATCAAAGAGCGACTAGAATCTGACCCTTGGAAAGAGTCACTTGCCTGTGGAGAGGAAGTCTGCACAGCCCTAGTTATTAAGTGCTTGTGACATACTTTATATTGTTGGAATTAAAGCATGACAAAATACCTTAATTAGTATAAACTTTTCCTGCTATTTGCAATACCTCTGCCCCTTCCCCACCTCCAAAAACTGGGAAAGAGTTTTATGTAGGAGCATAAAAGCAAATTGAGAGGATGTGGGAATGGAGTTAATATAATTTGTAATTTTTTTTTCTACAATGTCCAAACAAATTTTGTGATTTTCTTTCTTGCTATTCTAGGCTTCTTTTAATTGCCTCTCACTGAAGTGACACCTCCCGGTCTGCTTCAGAAATTCTCTTCAGGATTTAAAAATGAAGCTGATTCATATTCAGAGTCTTTCTGCTAAAATCTGTTCAGCCAAAATAAAAATGACTGCTTTTTAAAATTTTCCCTCCCCTCTCTGTTGTTGCTCCTTGCAAACATTGTCTCACTTCTTACAGGAGCTGAGAGATTTCATTTATGCACAATTAAAAGTCAGTCTTCTCGGTACAAATGGAGAGAGAGAAACAGTTCCTGAGCTACCAACAGAAGTCGTGAGGATTAAAGTGTATCTGCCTCAATCAGATAAATGTGACCTGCTCTCTTGAGCTGGAGAGATTTTTTTTTTTTAACTGAATGGTTCCAGTTAGTTGGCTTTAATCCCTGAGCAATAGAGCTTCTTTAAAACCATCTTTATTCATCCACATCAATTGACACTTAAAAAAATCCCCCAGTTAACCATTCATCTGAGTTTGAATGTATCCATCAGAGTCAAATGCATTTAAGAGGATTTGCAATCTCTGATTATCCAAAATGCCATTTATTGTCAGTATTTTTGGTATGCCACAGCCAACTTTGTTACTCTAATGCACATAGCCACTTAGCCGCAGCACCGCCTAAAATATATCACAGCAATTAAGGTAACTGAAGGAGGGCTTTTCTCCAGCTTCGTGCTGGCACCGCTTGTTGTGTGGTTATGAACATCAGAAAGAATTCCTTAATGCGCTCTCGCTCTCCTTCCAGACCCTTTTGGGCAGTCTCGCCCTCCATGTTCTCTAAGTAGAGAGCAGTTACCAGGACAACAGAGAATTGGAGGAAGATTTAATTGTGGTCTGATGTCTAACCAGAGTAAAGAGCAAGTGCCTTTGAATTTACATTCTGGGCTCCCAAGCAAATGTCAATATGCATATTTATTATTTTTGCCTTACCTCATTACAAAAAGGATTTAAGGTGGCTTGCAAAGAAGTATACAGTTTTTTTTTCTTAATGTGGGCAAGGAGAAGAGGGATGGTAAATACTGAAAGGATAGGAAAAATAAGCAGCAGCTTGGGATCCAGAGAACATGCCATAAACACCGTAGTTATCCTGCTTATTTTTCTAGAGCTGACCCCAGTTTGACTGACCTTCCTAGCAGCCAGTGCAACGATGAGAACACCACATACGTGAGGCCCAGTATCCATCAGGAAGAGCGCAATTAGTCCTTCTGACGCTGGTTTCCCGCTGGGTCCAGCGTGTCCGTTGTTAAACTCAGATGAGTTGCACGTCCTTGGGGACACATGCTGTAGGACAAACACGGTACATCTTCCTAAAGTGCTTCCTTCAGACTCGATGATAAGAAATTGAAGAAGTTATTTTTCAGTGAACTTTTTATTTTGGAATAATTTGTAGCCTATGAAATGGCTGAACCACAATAGAAGTCCATGGGGAAGAACATTTTCATTTTTTTCTCTTGCCTTATTCTTGGTCCACAAATGTTTCAAACAAATTTTCTCAAGTAGATGTCTGTCTCTTGTATAGTTTTTGCCTTCCTTTCTGCCCTTTTTCTATTACGTGTATGCCTCCCTTCAGGCCTCCTAAGCTCTCCCTATATCCTAAATTCCCCATTTTTGCACCCCTTAACCAGGCCTGCCCTGTGCCCCAAGTGCTGTGTGTTCCCGTTTCCAGTCCCATCCCTCATCTCCATCCAAAGATAGGAATCAGTGGAGTTTTCTCTGGCAGGAGTTAAAAAATAGTATGACCAAATTAATTCACAATAATTGTAAATTATTGACAACACAACCGTTGCAAACATTTTCGTTTTAAAAAAGGATGTTTAATCTCCAATAATGTATTAATTGTCAGATAATCTTGAGGGAGAAGAATAAAATGAGGGGGAAAATCCATATTTAATGAGGAATGCAAGATAATTCTCACCAAGCTGAAGACATATAACCCTTGCCTGAATTATGCCCACGCCTTTCTTCCCGATTCCCCAAACTGTGGCTTTTCACCGATTCCTCCCTCCCTCTACATTGTTTATGAAAGTCTCTTTTTTTAAGGGTAGTGCATACTGGACATTTGCTATTCTTTTGACCACCCAGCATATGAGCCACCTTTCTACATTCATGGAATTATTTGCCTTAAGAGTCTTGATGAAACGAGGAGGTAACCACCTATTTTAAAAGCTGAAAATGTCAAATATTTGCTCTTCCCTGACAGTTGCTGTCGGGATGAGGCTCCACCCCGGCCAGGCCAGTCAGCCAGAGACAGAGATGGTACTGATGTTTCTTTATGGCAGCAGGCAGCTGGAGTTGCTCCAAGATCAAGTTCCTGATGCAGAGATGGAGGTGGCCCAAAGATTAGCATCTAATGCTTGATGGGATAGCTGTTATTTTCTTACCAGACACAGACTCTGGGATGTGATTTGGAAGCTTGCTTCTGTCTGCTCAAGCCCAAGCCTTGTTTTTCGCCCTCTCTATAATTCAGTGAGCTACTCAATACATTTTGATTAAATCCCCTATCTGCTTAAAACAGCCAGACTTGGTTTCAATTGCTTAGAATTAAGAACCTGGGCTGATAAACTTTTTTTCAAACAACCAAATATATTCAATTTATAAAATACAGACAGGAAAAATGAAAAAAAAAATTCACTCTGAACCTAGAGGTAACTATTATTAATGTGCATCTTTTCCAATACTATTGTATGCATCCATTTCAAGGGAGACCATCTTGTAGGAGAATAACTGGACAGGATTTTTGAGGCCACTTCCCTCTTTATGCAGTGAACCCAATAAATGGGTTTCCTAGTCTTGTTTTAAGAATGCTTAATTCACTCTTAACTTACTTAATTCATATGTAGAGTGAGAAGAGAAGAATGAGGAGGTTGCTTTTAACCCTGAGCTAATTTAAGAATCCTCTACAAGAGGATGTTAACCTTTATTATATGTTACAAAATCCCTCCCTCCCCCAAATTTTATCATTTGTCCTTTAACTATTTTTTTTTCTGTCCTTCAGACGTTCAAAATTTTTATATAACAAGCTTGTCAGTCCTTTTATGGTTTCTGGCATTGGTGTCATACCTTAAACATTACTCCCAACATATACATCTATATTTTATCTAGTACTTTTGTGGTATTATGGTTTATATTTAAACAGATAACACATTTGGAATTTATTTTATGGTATTGTGTGAAGTACAGATCCAGCTTTTGGAGACTGTCAGTCGGGGATTGCCATTATGGGCAAACTCTGTTCTTTAATGCGTGCAGGAAGTGGAATGTTCTGGTTAATGCAGAATTCTGGTAAATAAGCAATGATAGTGAATGTAATTTCCCTTTGAGAATTCGCAAGGCCTGTCAAGACATTATAGTGCCTCAGGATCATCAGCAATATCACAAACACTCATTATTATGCTGTACATGTGTTGATGTGCTCATTAACAGAGCCTGAGCAGAATACTGGGTAAAAGGGAGTAGACTGTCTTTTTCTTCTTGGATACTTGGAGTAAAGTGGGTGTTAGGGACCTTGAAGACAGATGGCAAGTCCATCAGTTTGCTATGTGAGTTCCCACATCCACACTAAGCTGTTAAATTTACTTTGTGAGTTAGAACTAATACAGAATGGCAACGAAGACAATGATAAACAGTTGGCCAATAATTTACAGAGCCATTTCACAGAGGATGGAAATGATTCTATCCTACTAGGCTCCAAATAGCTTTCTGGCAGGGGAGCCAAGTGAACCCACTTGAGGTGGGATTTCTCCAGCACACCACAGATAACACCACTACTTATGCTCAGGCCTTAGAAGAATAGTCTGTTGAAGTTTCCCACATTTGTGGGATTAGTTGCTTTGGCAGAAAGCCACTGAAAACCCATGCATAGACTGATAAATACGGAGCCAATGCATTCATACTTCAGTGCTTTCCCTACTTCTGCCCAATCAGGATCTTCTTCTATCCCAGCCAAACTCATCCAATGGCGCTGCCCTCATAAACCTAGGTTTCCTTGTCTCCTTGCTATGCCCATCTTATTCTCATCACTTGAAATAATCTCCCACTTCATTCCTTCCTATTATAATTCAACAAATACTTCAAGGAACAACTCAAATACTACCTTCATGAAGCCTTCCAGGAGTTCCCTTCTGGAAGAGTTTTCCCTTTAACTCTGAACTCATTGAAGTTCAAAAAACATCACTTGAGTGCCTGCCATGTGTCAGAAGACACTGTCCTAGTTTCTGGGGAGCAAAGAGCAGTTATCTTCGCTTCCTCTGCTTTATCACCCATGAAGCACTTAGCATATAATGCTGTTAGACTGTGGTTTTTATCTCCTAAACCTAATGATAAGCTACTGAGCAGTGGGGAGTGGTCTTAGAAAACTTTGAACACCTCCCACAGTGGCTAGCCCAGCCCAGACTCTTCCATCTGAATGAGTAAATATATGAATATAAGTAGCAAATGAAAATGATCTGGAGAAAGAGCAATGAGTGAACAAATAAATGTACATCAAAAATATATTCACTTTTCACATACTATATGATTCCATTTATATAACATTATCAAAATGACGAAAGTACAGAGGTGGAAAACAGTGGTTTCCTCTAGTGGTTGGCATGGGTTCTGGACGGTGTGGGGAGGAAGCGGGTCTGATTATAAAGGGATAGCATGAAGGAGATCTTTGTGGTGATGGAACAACTTTGTATCTTGATTGCAGTGGTAGCTACAGAAATCTACACTTGTGATAAAATAACGTGTTATTGTTGTTAGGTGCCACTCGAGGTGGTCCCAACTCATAGCAACCCTATAGGACACAGTAAAACTGCCCCATAGGGTTTCCAAGGAGCGGCTAGTGGATTCAAACTGCCAACCTTTTGATTAGCAGCCATAGCTCTTAACCACTGTGCCACCAGGGCTTCCCAAAATAGCATAGAGCTATATATATACATGGTGCCAATATCCATTTCCTGATGTTGGTATTGGAGTATAGTGAGGTGTGATGTAACCATTGGCGGAAACTGGGTGAACGGTACATAGGACCTACCTCTCTACTATCTTTGCAACCTCCTGTGGCTCTATACTTACCTCAAAATAAAAAGAAAATAACCAACAAAAACAAAAAACAAACTCAACTTGTTCTTCAGAAGAATAAGCAATGACTTAGAGAAACACAGTGAAACCTATATGAACCGGAACTTGATGGGACTGCCTTGTTTTTTCTGGGTCTCTCAAGGTTCCACCTACGACAGGGTGCAGTCTTACCCCTTTTCTATTGCTCGTTTTAGTGGAAAATACTTGAGTTTTCCTTCTCTGGCGAGTTTCTGCCCTTACAGTTTCTGGCTTTTGTAGGTTTTACCGTATATATGACAGAGTAGGGAGCCCTGGTGACATAGTGGTTAAGAGCTCAGCTGCTAACCAAAAGGTCAGCAGTTTGAATCCACCAGCTGTTCCTTGGAAACCCTATAGGGCAGTTCTACTCCATCCTGTAATGTTGCTATGGGTCGGAATTGACTGGATGGCAATGGGTTTTTTTTGGTATGACAGAGTAGACATAATTAGAAGGAGGCCTGGTGGTACAGTGGTTAAGCACTCAGCTGCTAACTGAAAGGTTGGTGGTTTGAATCTCTCCATGGGGGAAAGATGTGGCAATCTGCTTCTGTAAAGATTTACAGCCTTGGAAACCCTGTGGGGCAGTTCTACTCTGTCCTATAGGGTTGCTATGAGTCAGAATCGGTTCAGTGGCAATGGGTTTAGACGTAATTAGATTAGGAAACTGAGGGATTATGCTAAGGCCAGGAGTATAGTCCTCAGACCATAACTAAACTTAGGCTCCATCCAGTGTCAACCCTGAGCTTTCTAAAGGCCAAAGAAAAGAGAATCTTTGGGGTTTTCTATATATTCCCCCTTGGCTACTACTCTAATCCAGAGGACAGCAACTTTAGATCTTGAATAAGTAAAAGAACTTTTTTGTTGTTTTTGTTTTACAATGAAAACACTGAGCAACTCTCCAAATCAATCTTTTCTCTTCTGCATTTGAATCTGGACATATTCAAGGGCTTGGTCTGCTGAATGCATGCTTTGGCTATGATGATCAACAGGAAAACCCAGGCCATGGCGGAAAAACTAGCACAGGAGAATTTCCAAAGTGTAAGTCTTGCCGTCGCCGTGTGTCTGTCAGTTTGTGGTACTGTGAGGCCTTGTGTGTTGCAGTGAAGCTGGAAGCTATGCTACCGGTATTCAGCTGCCAGCAGAGACATCCATGACAGACAGGTTTCAGCTGAGCTTCTAGACTAAGACAGACTAGGAAGAAGAACCCGGCAGTCTACTTCCGAAAAGAATTAGCCAGTGAAAACCTTATGAATAGCAGCAGAACATTGTCTGATATAGTGCCGGAAGAAGAGCCCCCCAGGTTGGAAGGCACTCAAAAGACAACTCGGGAAGAGATGCCTCCTAAAAGGAGAATCAGGCTTTTGGGACCTTCATTTGCTGATGTGGCATGACTCAAAATGAGAAGAAACAACTGCAAACATCCATTAATAATTGGAATGTGGAACGTACGAAGTATGAATCTAAGAAAATTGGAAGTCTTCAAAAAATGAAATGGAATGAATAACATCGATATTCTAGGAATTAGTGAGCTGAAATGGACTGGTATTGGCCATTTTGAATTGGACAATCATATGGTCAACTATGCCGGGAATGTCGTTGCCATCATCGTCAAAAAGAACATTTCAAGGTCTATCCTAAAGTACGATGCTGTCAGTGATAGGATAAAATACATACGCTTATAGGAAGGAAGACCAGTTAATAAGACTATTATTCAAATTTACACACCAACCGCTATAGCCAGAGTTGAAGAAATTGAAGATTTTTACCAGCTTCTGCAGTTTGAAATTGATCAAACATGCAATCAGGATGCATTGATAATTACTGGTGATTGGAATGCAGAAATTAGAAACAAAGAAGAAGGATGGGTATTTGGAAAATACTGCCTTGATGATAGAAACGATGCCGGAGATAGCATGATAGAATTTTGCAAGACCAACGACGTCTTCATTGCAAATATGTTTTTTTCACTCACATAAATGGCAACTATACACATGGACTTTGCTGGATGGAATACACAGGAATCAAATCGACTACATCTGTGGAAAGAGACGATGGAAAAGCTCAATATCATCAGTCAGAACTAGGCCAGGGGCTGACTAAGGAACAGACCATCAGTTGCTCATATGCAAGTTAAGGTTGAAACTGAAGAAAATTAGAATAAGTCCATGAGAGCCAAAGTACGACCTTGAGTATATTCCACTTGAATTTAGAGACCATCTCAAGAATAGATTTGAGGCATTGAACACTAATGACTGAAGACCAGACAAGTTGTGGAATGACATCAAGGACATCATACATGAGAAAGGAAGAGGTCATTAAAAAGACAGGAGTGAAAGAAAAGACCTAAACGGATGTCAGAAGAGACTCTGAAACTTGCTCTTCAATGTCGAATAGCTAAAGCAAAAGGAAGAAATGATGAACTAAAAGAACTGAGCAGAAGATTTCAAAGGGCAGCTGGAGAGGACAAAGTAAAGTATTATAATGGCATGCACAAAGAGCTGGAGATAGAAAACCAAAAGGGACACGCTCAGCATTTCTCAAGCTGAAAGAACTGAAGAAAAAATTCAAGCCTCCAGTTGCGATAGTGAAGGGTTCTATGGGGAAAATTTGAAGCAATGCAGGAAGCATCAAAAGAAGATAGAAGGAATACATGGAGTCATTATACCAAAAAGAATTGGTTGATGTTCAACCATTTCAAGAGGTAGCATATGATCAGGAACCGATGGTACTGAAGGAAGAAGTCCAAGCTGAACTGAATGCATTGCCGAAAAACAAGGCTGCAGGAATTCACAGAATATCAAATGAGATATTTCAACAAATGGGTGCAGTGCTGGAAGTGCTCACTCATCTATGCCAAGAAAT